TGCAGATATTTACAGCTTTGGAGTCATCATGTCTGAGATATCAACTGGAAGAGTTGCATTTAGTAGTGAATCTTTTAGTATTAATCTTGCGGTAAAAATTTGTAGGGGAAAAAGACCAGAAATTGATGAGAGAACACCTGATTGCTACGTTAAATTGGCCAAGAGATGCATGGACCAGAATCAGAGTAAACGGCCCACGGTATCTGTTATTGCTCATAAAATTGGACATTGGCTTGACGAGATGGATCAGGATGATGATAATGAAATCAAAAAGCAATTTTTGGAAGCAGATAAAATTAAATTTAATATCGAATCATCAAAACATCCGAATGAAATGTATGCCAGCAAACTCATCAACACACGAGAGATAACGGACAAATTATCAAATTTTCCTGAAATTCCTGATAATCAATAATCAATATTTTGCTGTTCATGTTTTTTTTCAAAAGTGTTAAATGAAACAACAGAATATATTTGAAGAAAAATTTTATTTATACTACTACTTAGTATAAAATATATGAAAAATGGGTATAAGTCGCATCAAACCAAAAATTACATTCAAAGTTCGAGTTTGATTAAAGGATCTATATCGGTATATTAAAAATTTGAGCGTCTATTACTTAAGTAACACTACGAATATCAGCCAGAGAACAAGCACTACATATTTTAATGAATATGCTATGTTATTTCATAACTGTAAAGGTATATGTGTGTCGTCAAAGGAAACTTGTAAACCTGAATTTTATTATTTAACTTATCGGACTTAGCGATATATTATAAATTGCACGAAAGAACTTGACGTTGAAGAATTTAATATTATAATAATTGGCATGAAAAACCTTTTAAAGTTGTTTGTATGATTTGTAAGTACACATTTATAGATGCTGGTGAAATATGGTGAAATGTGGTGAAATAATTTCACCACTATTGGTGTAATTGGTGGTGAATTGGTGAAATTGGTGAAATTAATTTCACCAGCATCTATATACACATTCATGTCAATCTAGAAATATGGATTTGAAACGAACACATCTGACTGATAAACATTATTTTGTCATTTTACGAAGTATTATACGCTTTAAATGAACAATTAAGTATCTTGATTTTACATCATACGTATAATAAAGAACTGTTACAAGTCACACTTGTTATAGTGATCTGCTCCATTAGTAAAAATTTTAAAATTTTATCAAACAAATTTTATTATATCAAGAATTTGTTGTAAGTGAATACGAAATATCTGTAAATTCCGAATCAAGATAAAATGATATAAATGGAATTTGGATCCTAAAGCGATTTAAATTAAATATTTAACAAAAATTTTATGTTTTAATAAAAATACACTATCGATGTTTAGATATAAAAATTTATAAGCACATTTATATCTTGAAACAACTACTATTAAGCATATAAAAATATATCTATATAATTTCATTCTCTATATAAGCATATTTTTTTAATAATGCTTCTATAGGTCCCGATAGTATAGCTATAGTGGAGTGCGACTTAATGTATATGACGTCCATTACCATATAATAAATCAGAACGTTTATATTTATTTTTTCACTTAATTTATATGCCAGATAACGGTATATACGGTTGCTTCATGTACGGTATTTCAAGTCTTTCATACTCAATTAGTCCTAGTAGCATAAGTTATAAGTGTTCTTACTACAGTACTATGAATTAATGATTTTTTTAAACACTTCAATCAACGATCGGAAGAATATTTAAATTAGTTGAAATTGTATAAACTAATCTTTTTTTTTTTCATAAAGTTGTTCTGAATGGATAAATTTAGAACCCACATTTCGCACTATGAATTTTTAACAATTCATTCTTCGATTAACTTCATTAACTACTCAATTAATCGCGATGATTTGTGCAGTATCTCAGTCACTAGCTAATTAAATTAAGGGAGCTGTTTGAGAACACCTTTATTGTCTAAGATTCATTTAACTATTCTTCTTGGTTGAATAATAAAGTAGAGATTGCTTGAAACATTGCTATTAAGGATATATATTTGTTTTATTACTTCATAAACTATTACACGCATAAAGTCATCATTTAAATTTTTTCTATAGTTTGTAATCAGCTTATGATGGTTCTGAATCTACATATTACATATCCGCTTACTACAACACATCTGTTCAACAATAAACATTTTTAAGAATTTCAAAAGTTCAAAGCCAATTCAAATGGTAAAACAAAAATAAACTTCAATGCTAAGTTTTAATACAACTGTATATTGGTATGCATTGTGCTTCAACTACCTCCACAACCAGCGAATGATTTTTTAATGATAAGCCTTTTGAATGTAAAACGTCGTTGTTTAAACGTTAACTTGTTTAACGAATTATATTTCTTAAAAGGAAACGTATATTGGAGTGATATTTCCCAAGACTAAAAAATAATTTCCTGGGTTCAAACCGCAAGAATCTTGCATAAATTTTTTGTTGTACAATATGCCAAGCTTTAAAGGTTTATTTTTTGCTAGGTATTTTGATCTTTTTAATTAGTGCAATACAATAATACGCAAGTGCAATTTATTATCACTGTTTTCGAATTAGTCCGATAGATGAATTCACGAATTCTATGATTCCTATTGTGACAACAATGGTAATATGCGGAATTCATAGAATTTACGAAATTCATCTATCGGACTAATTCGAAAACTGTCACGTTAATGTAAAAATATCAATTAGAATATCCGGAGCTGAATTACTGTATATTACTATCTGATAAATTTATTAGAGATTAGTATGAAATTACGGTGAAAATATATGCAATAAACAAATAGAAGACATTAAAGGCGTTAATTATTTTTGTATCAAAGTAACTTTAAATGGTTTGATCGATACACGTGTAAACTCTATTGTTTCACAACGGAATATATAAAATCACATGGCAATCTGTTTATTCTCACACAGTTGTCCGACCCGTTTTTGATTCATTGTTATTACCTTCAAATATGTCAGCACTAGATAGACTACAAAAATGTTTACAAGAACTTACGGATTGTCGTCAGAGGATAATACAAAATGTGAAAAGTAATCTTTTTTTTGACAGTGCCAGTGAGGCTATTAGATATTGTGAAGATATTGAACAAATAACTTTAAATGATATTGACGTTCAAGAACTAGGTATTTCATCATTACATTATTCGAATGTCATTTTAAAAAAAGTTATTCTAACAAAAATATATATATATATATACTTATTTTTTATATAATTTTTTATTAGGTCTCGCGTCGAAATTTCTATTTGATCCGAAAACAGGAATAATTAAATTTTTAGTAGACACCGCCCAAATAATTGACTCAACACTTTCTAAAGCAAAGATAGCTCTTTTAGAATTTCTATTTCTTTATATACAAAAAGTAAGATCCGATATTGAGCCATATTCAATCAAGATTAGGGTACGTGAGAATTATTGTTCTTTCATCATTTATGATATAATTCATTTATTCTTATAAAATATATAATTGTTTAATAGGACGCGTGTTTCACACTTCAACATAATGATGAAGCTGTTGTACGTGCTGCTTCTTTTAAACCAATGGTTGCAATGTTGGATTCAAGTGTACGAATAATTGATCCTAATAAAATGCACATGGAAAATATAATTCAACGGTAGCTATTTCCCTAAAAATTTTATCATCATAATAGAAATTGAACAATATAACAATATTATATGATACAATTTTTTTTTTATTAGATATCTGGATTGTATTTTTGTTCAGAGTAAAATGAATCAAAGTGTTAAAGGTTTATATTTGTATATTATAATTTTTTTACATACATATTTCTCAATGTAATTGATTGTATGTCTTGTTAATAATATAGTTATGGCAGGAATTCTTACCACGTTGGGTATAATCGCATATAGATTTCCTGAACATTCTAAAAAGGATTGCGACAAACTTTTACGTGTTTTCATAAACAAGCTAAAAGATCCAGATCATTCAAATGCTGCTTTTAAAGGATTGCATTCCTTCTTATTTAGTTTTCCTGATTTGTTGAAGAAAGGTTTGCTCGAATTTATGATGATGATAATAATGTTATTTTATTACTTTACTATTTATTTATCATGTGGTTGAATTGACTTTTAGCTAATCAAGAGGAATATGTATTTCAATGCATTTTAAGAAGTATTAACATGGTCGAGAACGAAAGTCATTATGATATTGCGAAAAGTAATTATCCATTTTCTATAATATATATCTTTATCGAATTATACTCTAATTTAATATTTTTTTATTTTTTTTATTTTTTTTTTTATTTCTGAATACTTAATGAATTTTTTTCCTGAATTAAAGCTGGTTTCGATTATATATCTGATCATTCAAACATATTTGGACATCATTATTTGCAACAATATCGTGAGGTGTGGGCTTGTCTTTGGAAATGTCGTGATCATAAAAATAATGACGTTAGACGTGCGGCGTTTAAATCTATTGGAGAATTTTTAAAAAAGGTATAATTTAATTTATAAAAAATATGCTTTGGTCATTTTTTTTAATGTTAATGTCATCATTTTAAAAGGTTGCCGTTTTGTTGAATTCAAATTTTATTGGGTCTCATGAAAAAGAATGTGTGGAGGTATGATGATTACATATCATGTTTATATATTATGTTTATATATTATGTTTATGACGATTATATGATTATTTATATTTATAGTTTCGATACTTTTTTTTTTTTTCTCGTAGTTCTTTTTATCGATATTTGTAAATATATGGAAGGCTAATAGCAGTGATCAAAAGCAGGAAGTAGTATCAAAGGATCAGCAAACAAAAGATCTTTCTATTGCTGTTCGAGGTGTAGGATATTTTGCCGCACCAGCAAAAAAATTTATGGAAGAAGATAGGTTACAACAACTATTCCAGGATTTGCTTAAGCCAAGTGCTTGGGTAGTTTCAAGGTATTATCTTTATTATTAATTTTTAATTAATTATGAATTAATTTTAATTACTTAGATCTAATACTTATCGTTAAATAT